GGCGCGCGCGTTGCCCCGCAGCCTCCTGGCCCCGCCCCGTGCGCCCCGCAGCCTCCTGGCCCCGCCCCCCGGGCGCCGTGTGCTGCTGGGGGCGGTGCCGGCCTTGGGAATGGAAACCGAGTGTTTCTGACAGGACTGACCCGAAGTGGAACAGGAAAGGGAAACTGATTGACTGCAGGGGAGGCGGCCGGGTAAACCTGGCCCGGGCCCAGTGGGCGGGGCGGGACTCGCGGGAAACGAAACTGAGCGTTTCTGACAGGACTAAACCGAAACCCATAGTTGAAGCGGAACTGGTAGGTTGCAGAAGCTCGGAGGCGGCCTGTTTAGACGGGTCGCTGTCCGGAGCCCAGGGTGCGGGGCGGCTGACGAAGGCGTCCCGCGCCGGCTGCGGTGCCGCCTGGACCCCGGGGAAGGGCTGTCGAGGAAACACCTCGGCTACACAGGGCCTTCCCCACCTGCGGGCTGGGACGCATTTCACAGAATGCTATACGGGGACCGCAGGAGCTCCTGTCAGTTCTAAACTCAAGCTGCAGAGTGGCAGAGAAACTACTCGAGGGAGGGGGAAACCTCTCCAACAACCTTGCGCCTTACAGCGACCTGCCTTATGGCAGTGTGGTTTTTGTTGTTGTTGTTCCCTAACGTTTCTGGCAAGGGAAATCATGAGGAAGTAGTGTTTTGTTTCTGACTTGTTTTGCTTAGCACAGTGTTTTGAACATTGCCTTAGTTGCTGTTTTCTTTGCTGAGACAAAATACCTGGCACCCAAAGTTAAAGGAGGAACAGTTTACTTAGCTCACAGTTTGTAGAGGTTTCAGTCCATAGTTGGCTGGCTCCACGGCAGGGTGGCCTGGCAGGGGGGCATCACAGAGGAGAAAGAGTTCATGGTGGGCAGAAGATAGCAAAGCAACAAGGGACGACCACAGTTCTTTCTACCCTTTCTATCTTATCCAGGCTACTGAGGGCGGGTAGCACACACAGTCTTAATAGTAGTGTCCTTGAACCTAGCACGCACCATGAATCAGTTCTACTGTCACACACTCTAAAACCAGCCCCCTCTGAAAAAGCCCCACCTATGACCGGGTGAGACTTTGCTTCGGGGAGCATCTAGACACAAACCATAACAAACGTGTCCTGTTGTGCTGTGTCGGTATTCCTCTTGTTATTGCTAACTGGTATGCTAGGATATGGATATAGTGCCATTTATCCATTCACCAGATGATGGGTGTGTTAGTCCTTTCTTGCTTTTGGCTACAATGGATAGAATGTGAATGTGACTATTGTGCACAAATCTTTTCGGTAAGAAATGTTCTCATTTCTTTGGGGCAAATACCTGGTAGTCAATTGCTGTGACTTGTGAGTGTCAGTCTTTGTAAGATATGCCCCAGACACTCCACAGTGCTGGGCCATTGTGCATTCACTCCAGCAATTACGAGAGTTCCAGTCACTCTACACTTTTGCTGATAGTTGATATTGTCAGTCTTTTTAATTATTTCAAGTGTAACAGTCTTACTTTGTACTTTTCTAATAACTAATGATAGTGAGCATCTTTTCCTGTATTTATTTGTGTCAGTATTTCTTTTTCGGTGAAGTGGTGTCACAACCTTTTGAGTTCCAAAGACACTCTTTTCAGGTTCTTTGTGTCCTGAACAAAAGACTACAGAAGACACACAAAAAAGGTAGCTAGGGGTTACATCTATTGAAGGTAGAGAAGTATGCTTTTAAGAATGAGAATGGGCTGGTGAAAAAGGCTCACAGTGGCCATGAGGATAATGGATAGGAGTCTTTTGTATCTGGAATTGGCTTTTCTTCTGTAAATAAGTCATTTGGGACAATTATCCTATTAGAAACTCACTTTGCCTGGTGTCAGATTTACACTGTCCTATTGAAGGCTTGCTTGGTTTTGTCCTCAGTGGAAATGAATTGAAGAAAGTGCTTTCTGATTGGTTCTGTGTACAGTCTTTGGGAACTGCAGTCATCTTGGAGTCTGTGTTTTGCAGCGTGCCCTGGATCTCATGGCTTTGACAGATTATGCCCCCTTGCTTGACTGACTTTGCCCAGGCCCTAATCTCCTACTTCAGTGGCTGTTCAGATCTTTTGCCCACTTGTTAATACCATGGTTTGCCTTGTTATTTAAGGTTTTATACTATGTCATTTATTATATATATATTTTGTCTGAAAGTGAAACAGTTTGTTCTGTTTTCAAGATAAAGTCTAACTCTGAGTGGAAAACTACTAGTACACAAAATTGCCTACTTGTTTGTAGAAATAACTGAGGTCAGGAACTTGAAACGGTCCCTAAACAAAGGGGGAAGGAACAGGTAGTCAATAAAGTATGGCTTCATTATGCTAACTCTGATTGGAAAAGTACTCACAGTAGAAGTTACCCACCTGAAGCTTAATCATTTGCCTTTAAACTCACAAACTGTTTGAGAGGGAGCGGGCCAAGGGTGGTGACTAGGAAGATTGTACCCCCCCCCCCGTCATATTCAGCCAGTGAGGACTGGGGAAGGGACCACGTACTAGGGATTAAATTACTTGCCATAACTCCCCTGGGTGTGCCTGCCTGCTTGTTATGCTGGCACCTGCTCTTGCAAGATGGAGAAATGAAGTCTCACTTTTGTTTGTACTTTCCCAGTCTTTGGGCTCATCTGTCCTTTGCATACAATTAAAGGTAAGGGGGGCATTGTTCCCCAATTTTTGAAATTTTTTCTTCCAATCTTTGACTTGCCTTTTTATTGTATGTACATTGTCTTAATTTTTAGGTTTTTATGCAGTTTATGCAATTTTATATAGTTCATACCTTTTTAACA